CTGCCGTTTGTACCTGGGAGCCTCTCGCCATCTGGAAGGCTCTGCCGGGGCACGTGTTGCACACCGCTGCCCAGTGTGACAGCACACTGTCCCCTGCGTGGCATGGCCCTGGGGGCTCAGTGGGGAGGAGGAGATGTGAAAGAGATGCAGGGAGTCTCCCTCAGTGAATGAGGCGGCTTCCAAAGCCCCAGGGGCCTATTTTGCGGTGTTCAGGGTGGGAGGGTGATGAGTGCCGTAGGCTTATGCAGGTGCTGCCAGCGAGCGCTGGCAAGTATTTGGGTTCTTTTGGGGTTTGATGGCAAGTTACGAACTGTCTCGGGTCTAATCCCAGTCTTGTCTGGCAACCTGAGAGTGTTCGGGGCTAGTTGCATGGCAGGGAGATGCTGCGACCCCTGTAACAGCAGCTGGTGGAGGAGCTGTTATTTCCTGGCGTCAGATGTGTCCTGGAGTAGGAGAAGAGGCTGAGTCCCGCGTCCTGCGGCTCTGCCTGCTGCAATTAAGACAAGCAGTGCCTGACTCTTCCCCCTCCGCAGGGATCCTCATCCCCCTGTGCGAATCGGGAACCTGCACGCTGCGGGAGGCCATCATCATCGGCAGCATCCTCAGCAAGTGCTCCATCCCTGTCCTCCACTCCAGGTAACGCGCTGGGAGGCTGTGGGGGGGAGAGGTTCTCCTTTAGCGACACCGGTGCAACGCCTCAGATCTGTCCCTCAGCCTTTCCGGCATCTCGGAGGTGGGGGGGTTCACTCAGCTCCCTCCGGGGTGGAGATTCAAGGCTCAGCACTGGGTCTGTCATCTTTGTGTCTGGCTGCCCGTGGCTCCTGGCCTGCCCTCACCTCGGTGCTTCCTCCGTCCCTGCAGCGCGGCCATGCTGAAGATCGCCGAGATGCAGTACAGCGGCGCCAACAGCATCTTCCTCCGGCTGCTCATCGACAAGAAGTACGCCCTGCCCTTCCGTGTGGTGGATGCCCTCGTCTTCCACTTCCTGGCCTTCCGCACGGACCAGCGGGTCCTGCCCGGGCTGTGGCACCAGAGCTTCCTGGCCTTTGCCCAGCGCTACAAGGAGGACCTCTCCTCGGAGCAGAAGGAGGCTTTGCTCGAGCTGCTCAAGTTCCACAGCCATCCGCAGATCTCACCGGAGATCGGGAGGGAGCTGGTGAACTCCAAGACGCGGGATGTGGAGGGGCAGCAGCCCGTGGCCATGGAGTGAGCAGGGAGAGGCAGGGAAAAGCTGCCGCCCGCCCTGCTCCCGGGATGCTGCTGGATGCAGTTGGGAGCCTGGTGTGTCAGCAGAGGTGTGCGGGAGAATCCATCTCGGGATCCTGCTGCTCCGAGCGGGCGCTGGGGGCAGGCCAGCGGGGGTGTGCGGGAGAATCCATCTCGGGATCCTGCTGCTCCGAGCGGGCGCTGGGGGCAGGCTGTGCCCGTAGAGCTGGACCGTGCTCCCTGCGCCGCTTGTCACGGGGCAGGGTGCCGGGTGCTACCGGCACCTGGTGGGGTTTGGCCTGTTCCTGTATTGGAAAATAAAACCCGAGCTATGTCCGTCAGTCAGGGATGCATCTGCCCCGCGGCTGCACCTCTGTGGTTGCATCCCTGTGCTGTCCTGCCCTGTCCCACCTTGTCCTCTCCCCAGCAGGTGGCAGAACAAAGCCACCAGCCCTGGGGTTCTTGCAGAGCTGCAGATCGAGTCTGTGCTGCCACTGCTGTCCCCAAATTGGAAAGGGAGAAGGGACCCCTGTGCACCCCCTCTTCCCCCCCCGTGCTCTGCCCTGAGCGGTCCCTGCGCTGTTGGGCAAAGGGAGGGTGGGCAGGGGGACAGGGCTGGGACCCCCAGACTGTTCCCAGAGCCCAAAACCGCTCTCAGAGGAAAAAAAACGCTCCTGTTAGTGCTTGAGGGTTTCCCGAGGGCTTGGTTGTC